GCATCTGGTCTTCTGCCTTGATGTTAATGGATTCCAAAACCGTAGCAGAGGTAGTATGAAAGTCTTTCGCTCTCTCCTTCGCTAGGGAAAAAACAATGTTTGATTTGTTTGGTAAGGATCATCCTCTGTATCCTAACTGGTCCCGACAGGTTGCATGCAAAGCGATAGAAAATTTCAATCTTTCAAAAGTCGAACGATTCTAATTACTGTGTTCGACTGAGCAACTACAGGCATAAAGTACTGAACACAAGTTTATAATTTTTAGACACTTTTTATTGACGATCTTTTTTAACTTGATACCAACATGTTTGGGAATTATTTTTCGGAATTAAAGTTAGGACTTACACCTAGAATAGTTCAAACAAATCTTTCATGCTATTATAAAGTTCTTTGATATATTCATTCCACTCAATGAACATCGAACAGTCTCATCGACGGAAATCAGTGTGCGATAGAAACAGAAACCCCCTTAATTGAACTACGTGATTCCTATGTAACAAATGTTTGCTTCGAAATGAGACGTCCTAGAGCTCTCTGCTTGATTCTACCCAAAAGATTTACTTGAACAAACATAATAAGCGATCTAATATCCTTTGAGGCTGCTTATTTCGACAGAAAACAGATGCACAAAAAGACATATGGAAAAAAGTTTTGAGCAGAATCAGGTAGAGAGCTCCGGGACGTCTTATTCTGAAGAAAAAAATTCTACTAGATACTAATATGGAGATACATCAACAAAACCGAGACACGTTATTTAAAAACAAGAAAATTTTTGAAGATTAGTATTGAATATCTTCACAATATCTTGTTAACCAAGAGTCTTACAAAACTGAGACCCGTTTCATCTTGTTAAGAGCGCTTTTTCTCACAAAACGAGACAATCGCAATGATCGCATATAAGAATCACAAAGAGAGTTGTTTCTATCTCACATCGATCTCTATAGATGAGACTGCCCGATATTCATTGAGTATAATAAATATATCAAAGGACTTTATAATAGTATGAAAGATTTGTTTAAACTATTCTAGGTGTAAGTCCTAATTTTAATTCTAAAAAATAATTCGTAAACATGTTGAGAATAGCTTATATTAAAGAAAAACAAGCTCTCGCTTTCATACACCAGTGCGATTTGTACTTTGCAAGATGAGCTGTATAAAGCACGAATAACGTTTTATAACTCAAGACGACATGCTTCTATGGAATACTGATTGTAGCTGAGAACAGTCTCATTTTTAATAAAGATCAGTTTCTTTTTGTTTGAGATAAATTTTCAGCTAAAAGAGAAGTGGATTGCGTCGCCACTTTGAAATACATATGTATATATTTCAAGAGTATGAGTATGAAACTAATATACTGACGTCAACTATTCAGAAAAGTTTTCTAATAAAAACCGAATAAAATCGAATGCAGAATTATTTTACCACCAAGGATTAATATGTTTGATAAGTGCATTATTTGATTAGGGATGAAACTGTTTAATGCCTTAAAGTTGTTGTTTAATATATAAAAAATGAGTACACGTCTTGTTTTATGCCACGGCACTACTTTCGCTATGAATTTTAATAATATTTTGTAATACATGGGAAACATACGTCTGATTTATTCATTCAATAATATAAAGATATTTCGGAGGACTATGCGGCTTGTCTAACTAACGGCCTCCATTTTTTGCTCTTTTCGAAAAGTTATTGCAATAAAGCTACAAACTAATCTAAAATAGCAACTATATGATGATCAAGTAGATTAAACATTTCTCTACAAAATGAAAAGTGTCTCGGCCTTGAACGTTGATTCATTATGAAAATACAGCTGTTGTACAAACAACCCCAAAAATCGATTTTTGGGCTATCTGAAAAGTGTGTCTAAAAGAGTGAAGACGAGCTGGTAAACATTGAACAGTATACCAGCTTGTAGAAAATTGTTCGCTCTACAAGATGTGATAGCTTGTCAAGTTCGAAACTATTCTAATTAATCTGTATTAATCAAAGGTGTTTTGGGCTGTTTTTACAACAGTTGTATTTTCATAACGACTCAACGTTCAGAGCCGAGACACTTTTTATTTTGTAGAGAAATGTTTAATCTACTTAATCATCTAGTTGCTATTTTAGATTAGTTTGTAGCTTTATTGCAATAACTTTTCGAAAAAGAGCAAAAAGTGGAGGCCGTTAGCTGGACAAGCCGTATGGTGAACTAGAGACGTTTTGTTTTAAAGTGACATTAGACAAAAACACTAAAACGATGACATCGATTTTGTTTATGTGCCTTGATTGCAACTGGTTATGCCAAATTTAAAACGACAATTCGTAAATAGATACTTCTTTAGTTTGAGCCATTTACAAAGAAACATTTTATTTATTTTTATATTAGATATTGGCGTCGCGCAAATGCAACAAAAATCGAAAAAGAAACGTACGTAGTTGTGACAAAAACAATATTTCAAAATTACAGGGTAATCTTATTCTACTTCTTTTCAAGTTAGTTCTGCAGTTTTATGGGTTCCATGAGTAGTGCCGCAAGTAAAAATCAAACATTAGGGATGTGTGTGTGTAAAACCGACTGTGTCTCTCACGTAGTGTGAATCGAAGAAAGATAGTCCATGAAGTAGAACCTGTGTACAGAGCTGCTGTGAAAAAACTAATTTCTTGTATATAAATAAACAGCATTTTGTGTAGAAAAAATAACAGAATTTTCAATTATTCGGGGTATATGCATCCGCCGGTCATTCTGTGAATGAAATGTAGTTATTATGTAACAACTTATCTCTCCTAAAACATTGCTAGACAAAAAAAAGTGGAAATAAATTTTATTTATATCTCACATCTTCTATTATATTACCACATTTCAAGCTTCATCTCATGATTTGTGTCAAGGTAATCACGTTAAATATTGTTCAGCATACATTGAGATAAGAAACAGTTCAGTCAGGATGAAAAATATTTTTATAGTATGAGTATATTCCGCTGAGAGTAATTTGAAGAGGTATGTTATTTATAAAATTGTTTCAATATGTGTAGACCGATCTTTCGTTTTCATTACATTTGTCTGTTCTTTTCTTTCTCTTTAAAGGTTGTCGAAACCTATTACAGTACGTATTTATAGAAACGCTTATTTGTTTGAATACGACATATACTTTTTACGTTTGTTAGATTTTTTGCTGAACTACAAGTAAATCGAGAATTGTTTCAATGGTTAGTTCAACCGGTGTGTTAGCTATGAATAGTATCGAAAAATAAAATATAATAAAAAGTTCTCTTATCATGTCAATATTTTTGTCATAAAAAAAAAGAAAAATATATATGATGACGTTAAACGTACTCTCTTTAAATGGTTTTCGGTCGTTCATTCACATGTGTGCATGAGAAAATCTCGATACAAATGAATGAATGGCATAGCCATTGTACTATTTAGCAAAAAAATCTCAGAAAATAAGATGCTTACAAAAAACATGTTTCATGCATTGGATTAAGTTTTGCTACGTCAGATGTTAATCAAAAAACCTTTTTCCCAACACTTTATACTCAAAACAGCACGTTTTCGGCGTTCAATCAATACCGAAATGCAAGAGTTATATCTCGTAAACCATAGGAGACAAGAGGTTGACTTTTAACACAGCAGTAGGCCTACAGTAGACAAATAAAAAAAACAAAAATTTTTAAATTGCTTCAACGCAAAAAAAAAATTATTCTCTTTTTACATGTAGAATATGAACGATACAATGGCTATGTCATTCACTCAAATAATAATAATAAGATTTTAACTGTCTATAGACTATATTTCGCCATAAATACAGAGATAATGGAAAAAAGTTGACCGCTAAATCTATTTTATGCTTAGTTAGTCATATTTTTTCTCATTTATCGTGAAAGATATTTTTGAAGGTGACAAATTAAACTAGATTGAAATCATAACGAGTGATTTATAGAAAACACATGTTTTCATTCAATGATGTTCTTTTGTATAATTCTAAAGACAGAATAAATTTTTAGATTGTATAAGTATGTTTGAATTACTCAACAACATAATCTGATGTTTACAAAAGTTGTCTGTATTATGTATGTAATCATATCCTATAGAATAATTCATGTTTTTTTTGTTGTATTTGTCAAAAATTATTTTGTTTTGTAGACAATATTAATGAGAGCTTTTAAGGAAATATTTCAACTTACAAAAACATGACTTCCGTTATTGTATTAAATTCACGATGATGAAAATCCACATATTTATACATCTCTATATATACGACTATTAGTACAGAGACTATGAATAATGTATTATATTTTTATTCCAATATTTATTTAATGCAATGTGATGTTAACGCCTAAAGCAATTGTGTGGCATGTATGAACTAATTGTGTGAGTGTGAGGTTGATTTATGATGATATATTTTTTTCTGTATTCCTAAATGATTGGAGAAAAAAAGAAAGAAAGAGAGAGAGAGAGAACCAGTTTATCTTAAGAACTGTAATGATGGTGTCTATAAATCTTATCTTATTTTTAGTCACAGACATCATCGATGAATAAAAGAGAGGCTAGCGTATAATATTTTGAGAAAAGTTATTTTATAAAACATGTCGAGAGATTTTTTTACAATGGAAAATGATTTAATTAGTTCAAACATGGTTAGTTTTCTATATAGTTTGTTTTAATCCAGATACAAAATAAAATATGTGAGTTAATATATCAAAAATAGTTTTAAAAAAGAAAATATTATTTTTGATCATCTAAATCAATAACAAAAAAAAAGTAAAAAATCTTTATCCTAATGAGCTTAAATATGACTTCTTTGATCTAATTAAGAAGTTTCAGATTAAGTTAATAACTGTCTAGATTTTTATATTTATAATTTTGTGTCTTACCTCATAGATGAACACAAGACTTCAATATACCTTCTCTATTATATGAATGTTACCTCGAGTCAAGTAAAACAACATAATTGTAAATACATTCTTTTATAATTAAATTCTATTTTTTTGTTTTGTCATCGTTATATTTTTGATGTCTAACTTCTTTCTGAACCACTCGAAAATACTATTTCAGATTCACTTGTCTGCACTGTTGAACGATGATTATTTGTTTTATTCATTGTATAATTTTCTAATAATATTTTTTCTCCTATTGATTTTACTCGATTATTAGGATGAATTTTATCCGTTGTATGATGAAAAACGATTGTTGAACGTTCACTATTATGTCTCTGATGATTATAGTAATAATGATTATTTCTTCGACTTGGATGAACTAACTGACATAAAATTTTTTTCATTTTTATTCGAAGAATAGAACTTGTTGCTAATAATATTGGAAAATGTGAGCAATGATGAAGAATTTCCATTAAATTAAGTATGAATGATAAATTATTATAATAAAGTTTATTTTCTTTTGTTAATGATATAATACCTTGAATACCTGTAGGTGTTGTTAATAAAAAAAAGGCAATAGATGATAATAACATATAGACAACAACACTTTTTTCTCTCCAATCATTAAAAATATTTTCTTGTGTTGAATTTGTTTTTGATAAACGTATAGCATGATGCCATTGTTTACGTTGTCTTGAACGATAATGTAAACCAATAACAAGTATAATATTTGTTAAAACAATAAGCAATGGTAATACAATATTATTTAAACCCATATTTTCAATTAATAATAATTTTGAAATTGTAATAGATTTACCAAAATATTTTGAATAGACGGCATTTTCACATTCAAATAATATTCGAGTAGAATTAAAATGACAATAATAAGCTGTTTTTGGATATAATAAAAATGGATGATTATAAATACAAACACATATAAAAATAAAACAAGTAATTTTTATTGCACGTTTACGTGTAATTAAATATTTTTTTTCAATTATCCACACCTTTAAGTTTCTCTCGATACCTGCAAAAGGAAAAGAAAAAAAGAAAAAATGTTAAAATTTTAGATAAGATTTCTAACTCCTGTTGAATTTTCGCAATTTGTTCTATTTAAAAAATTCATGGCTATTGCATTGCATTATACCAGATAGTTGATTCGGTATTCTCTAAAAAGAAACGAACCAAAAAAGGGTATTTCCGTGCTGGGATACCCTTTCTGGAATTTTTTAGAGAATAATCAATAATAAACAATAATCGATAATAAATTTTTTAGAGAATAATCCAATCAGTCGGATTTCTTGTTGATTAGTATGACATGACAGACAAGAGAATAATCCAATCAGTTGGATTTCTTGTTGATTAGTACGACATGACAGGCAAGCGCAAAACGAAGTGTTAAAATTTTGACTGCTATTACATCTAGAATTGTAGAGTAGACAATTGTACATTTGACTGTACTTTTATTTCGGGTTGAAATTAAATAATCTCTATACGTCAGCATTTAACAAGATGTAGTCATAACAATTAGTTTATATACTATTCAGAAGTACTCATTGTCTGTCTGCTTTAGAAGTATTTGTGTTGCAGGTATTCGATTTTTGTCACGATTCATTAACATCTTTTAAAAATAATATAAAATGCGCGAAAAACTATCTTCTTAATGGTTGTCTTGTTTTAATACTTTATTTAATGTGCTGCTCACAAACATTACATTTGTTTTACTAAAAAATATTTTTTGCATGAAAAAACCAAATTTTATCTGAAGAATTAGGGTGTTTATGAAAAACGGGTATTGAAGTAGGAAAGATTTTGCATTTATGGAAATAGAGAATCATCGGTGACAACTTCATAGTCAAGCCAATGGACAAGAGAGTGTCCTTAGGAATTTTTGCGTAAACAAATTTTTTTTTGTTGTGTTCTTTTGTATCGAAATAGACAATAGAAAGTCAAATCTGACAAAAAACACATGTCCGAGTTTTAGAAGTGGCAAAATCAAATAACTTCTCCATGGTTTAAGTAGTAGGGACACTTCACGGATCAATAACTATTACCTTACCTAATGCGCATAGAAATGCATAGGATATATTTTCACTAGCCAGTGTTAGAAACCATGTTACTGAACAAACAAAATAGGGATGCTTAAAATAAATATAAAATAAATGAAAATAATATTCGGCAAATAATTTTAAAATATCGACAATAGATAAACCAATAATGAAGATTGAATAAGGTGTTTTAGCCAATGATTTTGTATTAAAAAATAGAATACATGAAAATAAATTTAATATTGTACCAGCTAGTGCCAATAGTCCACCACCAATATAAAATATATAAATAATACTTGCATCTGCTGTTACAATACAATCTGAATTAATTATTGTTGTATTCATAATTCTAATCGTTATCGCATGAAATGGTTGAGAACATACTTCTAATTTGACACCTATATACGTATTACACTCAGTAATTCAAAGTTTGAAGACACTGACGTAAATCTTTTTCTCCTCTCTCTTCTCTTTTTTTGCGAACTGTTGTATTTTTTTTACATTTATAGATGATAAGATCATCATTACTACATTACAACCTGATAAAAGCTTTTTATTAGTCTAAAGAAGAATAAGAAAAATTGATGTGCTTCCTAATAATAATATTCTACATATTATCAGGAAACAACTAAAAGACAAAGTCAAGTGTATTCCCTCTCTCTGATGCATTCATTTTGTTTGTTAAATAATAAAGTATAATCTATGAACATAATATGAAGTCTCTCCCTCTCTCCCACATCGATCAACCTTCTACTACAAAAAAAAATAGATCTGACTGTAAAACTACTGGAATTAGTCATATATATATAATTAGTCATATAACGTAATTAAAATAGACGACAAAAAGTTTATGACACTTTTTTTGTGATAGAAACAGTTTAACGAATTTTAAAGATTTGATACTACTGTTCATTAATAAAATTCAAAGCTTTTAGAGAAGTATTATCGACGTTTTACGAGAACTGTTCATAAGAAAGATTCTTCTATCGATATTCTAAATCTAAATCTTTTTTCATATTTAGCGTTAAATTAGATACTTTCATCTTTTGGATAGCAAGCTGTGTACGAATTTTTTTAGACTATTTCGCTACCTTTAGCATTAACATTTTCTCTGTGTGTAACACGATGAATAAGCCAAGATGATTCTTATTTCAGAATGACCATTGTACCAGAATCACGAGATAGAACCCTGCAGTTTAAACCTAACCCAACCTATCGGTTAGATTAGATTTAGGTTATGAAATCTTTTATACGTTAGGTTGTAGGTTACGCCATTGATAATAACCTAAACAGAAAAAATCGATTTTGAACAACCGTATTAAAACAGCCAATACTTTTTGGCTCTTTTACAAGTTCTTTGTAGAGCTCACGTTTGCTAATATTATTATAAAATAATACTAATTATTGTAAACTGAGTAGCATAAACCAAGAAATACTTTCATTTCTATTTTAACTTCACTGATGAAGAGATGTCAGGTGTGGTTTCCACAGTAACTGTTTTTACTTTTATATTAATCTGTTAAATTTTTTATGTGGTTGAATCATCGAATTATAAAAGCAAAAAATTAACCATACATAAAAACCACTCGCGTATAGGATGAGTGTAGATGCTTAAACAATATAGGTAGGTATTACATTCCCGTTAAATTTCTGTACTTTGAGAGCAAATAGATCTTCTATAAAATAAACATAGTTCATTTTAAATGCTCCACTGAATGAATGAGTGAAGATTTATTCACTATACAGCTAAGTTCTACGGTAAAAGATGCTGAAATAGAGCTATTTTGTTTGTATAACAATAAAGAAAGACGAATTACTGACTCTGATAGATTATTTAAGTCAGTAACAGTTTAATGAAAGAAGAAAGGAGAAACTGTTTGTGAAGGAAAACCATCGACGAATACGAACGTATTTGAAATGATGAGAACGTGAAGAAGAATAATAAGAACGACGAACGTGATGAACAAGGAAAAGACGAAAATGGCAATGACAAATCTTGAAAATCTCTGCCAACCGAAAGTATCTACGACTAAGTGACAGATTTGGAAGAGAGTTGAAACACAAGTAGAGAACTAGAAGAACGGTACTAACAATTGCGAGAAATAACACGAGAAGCAAGTATAGAGTATGGAACAGAAACGAACTGTCGTACAAGGCATAACAATAATCTAGTTTAGAAAGAATAGAAGAACAACAAAGTCAACGCCGAACCTCTACTGGAGCCAGTCCAAAGATACGACTCAATGCTCATAGCTTGCACCGACAAGCAAGCAATGTCTCTACCATCCTCACTCCCTCTCACATTGTGCGAAACAAGAGAAATGAAATAAATACAGTTCATCTTCTCACTATAAACTTGCATCTTTTAAAGTAATCAGAAATGGTTTTAAATTCTGATCATAATTAAAGAAATTAAAAGCAAAACCTGGTCGATGGGTTAACTTAGTAATGTAGACAGTCCATTTTTAAAAACAAGTAAACACAAAAAACCGCCCAGTGTAAATAAGGCCTTACCATGTTTCAGTTCATTCTGGAACATTTATTATTAACACATCTGTTTAATAAGATGGAATCGCAATCTATCAAAGAATCTCAAAAAAGTCTATAATGAACTCCACCATCGTGCTGCGTTCATGTTTAACAAGTGTTTATCATTCACTATCAAAGATCCTATGCTCGAACAGAAGAACGCAGTTTTTCGTGTGCGGATAAGTGTGTCACACAGCCACAGTATCCAACAATAGTTAGAGTACGAGCGAATTAGCCGTGACTTATCACGAATTGTACAATGAAAATGTTGAGGATAATCAAATAATAGAGAATTCAATCGTTGATTAAGATTATAAAAACTGTAAAATAATTCAGCAACTTCAATATATTCAAAAAAATAATCATTGAGATATGTTTTCTAAAGAAAGGCTTTCTTCTTTTTCATTTGGTTGACTGTAGAAAACAACTCGGACACTATACTTAAAAAGTCAATGTTAGTCAATTCAGCAAGTTTTTCTATCTATATGTTGTGCTTCACAGCGCCAACCACCATGGCCACCAAGATAACTGCATGACTATCTTCCCAACTGAAATAACCCACCGTACGATTTAAATTTTCATTACTTAGTAACACATTGATACTGAGCACATCCATCGTTGCCTAAGTATAGTGTCCGAGTTGTTTTCTACAGTCAACCAAATGAAAAAGAAGAAAGCCTTTCTTTAGAAAACATATCTCAATGATTATTTTTTTGAATATATTGAAGTTGCTGAATTATTTTACAGTTTTTATAATCTTAATCAACGATTGAATTCTCTATTATTTGATTATCCTCAACATTTTCATTGTACAATTCGTGATAAGTCACGGCTAATTCGCTCGTACTCTAACTATTGTTGGATACTGTGGCTGTGTGACACACTTATCCGCACACGAAAAACTGCGTTCTTCTGTTCGAGCATAGGATCTTTGATAGTGAATGATAAACACTTGTTAAACATGAACGCAGCACGATGGTGGAGTTCATTATAGACTTTTTTGAGATTCTTTGACAGATTGCGATTTAATCTTATTAAACAAAATGTGTTAATAATAAATGTACGGTAGTAACAGTTGCAAGAAATAACACGAGAAGCAAGACACATGAAGTTCTTGTTTAGAACCGCCGATTTCTTCAGGAAGCAACATATAGTTCTTGTGGAGAAACACCGATTTCTAGAGGATAAAATTTGCAGTTCTTGTGGAAAAACCACGATTTCTACAGGAAGAAACATGAAGTTCGCGTGGAGAAACGCCGATGTCTAGTTGATGTTGACGCAGTTCTTGTGGAGATACTACGATTTCTTGAGGAAACAAGGTGGAAGGTGAAGTTTATACAAGAACTTCGTGTTTTTTGCTGTGCAAATCGGCGTTTGTTTCCAAGACCTTCATTTTTCCTCCATAAGAAATTGGTGTTTCTCCAGAACACCTTTATGTCTTTTCCTGCAGAAATCTTCGTTTCTGTTCTGCACAAGAACTTCATGTTTCTTCCTGAAGAAATCGAGGTTTCCCCACAAGAACTTTACCTTCCTTCCTCAGGAAATTGTGGTCTCTCCACAAGAACTGCATGTTTTATCCTCTAGAAATCGGTGTTTCTCCATGAGAACTGCATGTTTCTTCCTCAAGAAATTGAGGTTTCTCCACAAGTAAAAAGTTCTTGTGGAGAAACGCCGATTTCTTCAGGAAGCAACATGCATTTCTTGTGGAGAGACCATGAGCGCATCAATTCAGTCAATAACTGTTCGCAACTATAAACTACTGTCATAGAAAAAAGGAGTAAAAAAACAATAATGACTTATTTTTCGAAACTGAGTATTGAAAAGTGGTCAAAGTTATTATTAAATATTTTATGATGAAACACTAAAGTATGGTGAACTCAAATTGAGTCTTCGATAGCGGAGATTTAATCTGAAGCGGATCAGATTAACAAATGCAAACAATGTGTACCTTTTGAAAAAATTTAGTCGAGAAGTGAACGCTTTATTTTAGTAAGATTACAGCAGAAAATCGAATCTTCCGAAAACTACGTCTTTTGCTCCGGACACTTTGTTTCAAAAGGTACACCATGGTAAACCTCTCCGGGAGACTAGACTTTTCAATAGAATTATAGTCATGTCATTAGGACGTGTCAGTTAAAATAACACTTTTGTGGTCTTACGCGTAACAGTTCATTTTATTGATTTAGTAACAGAACTAATTGAACAGAAAGAATCGGGACCAATTTTTAGTTTCAAACGAGCAATAGCATGCTAATATCGTTCAATGCAATCAAGTCATTTATCGAAAAACGAAAGCAGTGTACTCAATCGGTTTTTGAATATGTCTCGAATAAAAGTAGCTAAACTCGTGTAGTCTTCATCATTCGATAACCAACAGCTGACAGCGATACATATATCAGGTTCTTTTTTGAGGTTAAACACAAGGCCGGAGGTTATTTTTTGAATAACTCAAAAGGAATAAAAGATAGAGACTTGCGGTTTTGATCATTCGCTAGCTATGACCTGAAGCTATGTTTTCATGAGCAGAAACGAATTTGGTAAAAATTTCAAAGACTGTTCTTTTAAGAGATTAGTGGAAAACCAGTTCGATTCTCTGAAAACTGACATAGAAACAAATGAATCTTTTTTCGTAGATATATCAAGTCATTTATCCGAAAACGAAAGCAATGTTCTCAATTGGTTTTTGAATTGAACAAAAGTAATTGGTTTGATGGCACGAACAATAGTAGCTAAACCTCTATACTCTTAAGAGGATCTCCCACAGAGTGCATTTTTCGCATAGCAAACGAGCATGGGCTATAACTTGGGAAATATTC